GTAGATAATAATGAGTAAATGCCGCGAATCCAATACACACATCATGGACAAGAAAGAACGTTCTAAACTTTGCTTTTATGACGGATTCGGCTGATTTACTTTTCTTAGCATTTCAAAAATGCGAAAACGAAGAACAGTCAGAACCAAGTAAACAGGAAATAGTCAATATTTAACAAGGTATCCCCTTTTCCAAAAATGTTGGCAGTTAAGTCTGAGCAATCAAATTATGGTTGCAAACGGGCCAAACATTGTAATTAAGCATGTGTACTATAATTAAACCATTATTTTGGCAGGCAGATCAATACAAGTGTGAAGATAAAAACTACCTTGTCCTGTCGATAAGTGTAAACTCAGGCAGCTGATGCAGCATGACGATACCGTTCTCGAATCCAGCCACCAACATCTGTAATTTACGATGATAGGTAATAGTCGTAATGGGCTCAGGAATGCGATGATCCAATGCGTTTCGATAGAAGTACTTCGAGGTCAGGCGGAAGGTGGCTTTCGCAACCCCCTCACCCTTCTCTTTCTCTCTAACGTCCATGTCTTTTAACTTCGTGTCACAGGTCCACATTTTTAATTCCCCGTCGGTGCCGAGAGTGAAGCAATCGAGAGTATCGTTGCCACAGAACCTGGCAAAGACTGGGGCCTTGTGACCAGAGAGAGTGTAAATAATTAGCTTTTCACATTTTTTCACGGAAAGTATGCGTGCCGTCATGTCTTCGCTGCCGGCGATTATAAACCTATTAGACATGGAAGCACTATTTGCCGGAGAGCTCAATACCTGGAGTCTGATGACCAATCAATATTCTTGATAGAATCCTGGAAGCCATACAAAAAACGGTATAACTCCAGAGAATTTGCACTCCGTTTAGGCTCTGGAGCAAGAAAAATCATGATACAGTGGTTCTTGGCAATCGCTAAGTACCTGAAGGAATGTCAAAAACAAGAACCTACTTTCCGTTTGGACTGAAAGCAAGGGCTGATATGGGGTGACGGAACTTATATGTATTGATAACACCCCCAGAAAGGAGAGATACAAGCGACCCATCACCATCTAGTGCTTAATAAGTAATCAAGTAACAATACTTGTGTTGACCGCAAAAATAATTGGCAATATAGGTGATACTGCGATGTGAGTTAGATTAAACTGACTGTTTATAAAAAGGGTACGAGCCTCATCTCTAAGGGATTGATAGAGAATTAGCTTCAGACAAACCGAAGCAAATGGAAAATTGTAACATGATTTCCCACGGGGCTTAAGAGACACGATCCATTGTGGGTAAATTCCAGATTTCCTGACTTGTAAACCGTTCCAAATAGGTTTGTGAACTGTAAACAAATAGGTTACATTCAGAGGCATACTTTAAAACCAAGCTTCATCTAGCCACGGTGTAAGATCACGATAAATAAGGGAGAAACCACTCGAAATTAGCGCTGAACTGACGGTGCAAAAAAAACAAACTATTTGGCATCCCTAACACATTTATGCTGTCATATGATTGCTGTGATTAAAGCCTTGTGTTCTATAGCGAACTACATTTTAGTTGACTATACGGGCTTTGTTGTACAAGTATTGGTGTCATAACAATCATCATATTTTCCAGACCTCTTCACTTTATAAATTTTTCTATGGAAATCAATTCTCCTAAGCTTAGTTTTAAGATATTAAGTAAAAAATTATGTAGATTTGATTTTGAGCAAATATTTATGGAGGACCGATGCAAATTTTGCTTGTTAACAAACTCAACGTATTTTAGCAGAACGGAGGTTAACTAAAATATTTAAACTTTAACTCCTTCATTCATACATTTTTTCGCAAATGTGTAATGAATTTCATTACTAACTACCATTTGAACCTGGTTTTTTTAATATCTTGCATATGCTCTCCACTACTCTTCAACTCTTAAGTTCTCGTTGTCCCTTTTTTTTTTTTAGAATTCTGCCATATGGGTTTTGTGTTACTCCAAGGTACATTTTCTTTACATATTTAAGTGTCCTATGTTGATTTTGTATTGCAGCGTCCCGAGACTTCCCTAAAGCCGAAAGAAGGCATAATATTCAGTAGGAATATACATATTTGGCACATAGAAGGTATTTGGGCTACTGGCATGGCCCAGAGACCAGCCCATCCAGCTTGGTATAATGGCCGAGTCAAAAGCAGCTCCTCATTGAAACCAAGAGGTAAACATGCACCGTATTACATAGCCGGTAAACACTTACGAGCCGGTCGTGCCAGTCATCAAAATTCCGTTCAACTGAGGAGATACTTGACTGTCAATGCACTGATCCCTCTTGGTAATTCAAGTGGATCTGAAGTTGCGTCCGGTTTGGATAATGCATTCTGGAATGGGAACTATGCTGACCACCATGCATGTTCAGAAATCGGCTTGGGGATATTGGCCTCGAAGCAGATCAGTGTAAGGAAGGACCCGTTTCAAAACATGTTGTTTGGGAAGGGTTTCGCGTCTGTTCCTCCTTGCCACATTGTTTTCGCTTCGGAGCTGATCAGCCATATCCATCCGGGCTCTACCAGCTAGTAAGTAAATGGGGCAGGTATCTCGAGTTTACTTTATCAGTAGTTTTGCGCAGGAAAAGTCTGTAAGGAAGCTTCCTAATGGTTCACGCCTAGTGTCACTTCAGGTGGGAATAGCTTTCCAGCAGGACACGGCCTAGGGTGGTTGCTGAAGGTAGACGGCATTTGCAGCCCCTATGTTTGGAGTTATCACCATTCTCTTATACGTAACATCCTCTCTTCTTCCACGCAGCTAAGTTTTATCGTGAAGAAGTGAAAATGAGAATAAATGTCCTTTAGGGTTGGGTTCGCTTTCCGCTGCCACCAACCTAGCTCTCCGAGACTTCCCTGAAGACGAAAGAAGCCGCAATATTACTGCAGAGTATATATATTCGACATACAGAAGGTATTTGGACTGCTTGCATGGCCTGAAGGCTGGCCTACCCGGCGTAGTACAATGTCCAAGTCAAGAGCGTCTCCGCACCAAAACCGAGAAATAAATAACCATCGTATTACATTATCGCTCAGTGCCATTGAACACGAATTTCTTCTATCTGTTTCAGCTCTTTATACTGTGGAGCCTTAAGCCTCCTCTAGGGTCAGAATGAATCATTTTGTTATGGTAGTACACTTATTATCAAAGTATGGAAGTACTGGAAGGCTGTAGATATAAGAGGAGGTCTGGAGGCTGAAGATCCCCTGCTTAAACTTACAGTTGGACAAATTACCCAATCACAAGAAAGGTTGCAATTGCAGACGTAGTCTTGTTTTGTTAAATATATCTTAAATAAAGACTTTGAAATTATTTATTGACATGATTTCCAAAATATGTGACACTAACTTAGGATGACTTACACCCACAATGTTTTGAACTGGTTGAACTGTTGCCTTTATTTCGTCAGTATGCAGCCTTGCAAATTCGCCTTTAGCTGCAGTTTTCTTCCTGGCATACGCATTTCTCTGTCTACTGCCACTATAATGAGCTCGCCATCATCGTGTCCGGAAGGCCTCGTTGAACTGCTTAGAACGAATTGTAAAAGCGTTCAAATGCATTCACCATATCCCATCATTTGGCTAATTAACCCCATTATTAATGAAGCTAGCTCACTATTAATATATTAGAATTAGGAATTATTGCCTTGCTTTATTTATTATCATATGCTCAGCTATTTAGCACTTAGCGACGGTTGCATGTTTTTTTATGCATTGGCCCAAGGGTGGAAATTGGAATTAGAGAATAGCTGCAGGGCAAACGTGGGTGCGCCAGAAACACCGAAAAACATTTAAGCAGCCGATTAGGACCAATTTGACAATACATAATAAACCTGATTTTAAGTAGATTTTTATATGCCTGAGATATTATTGCTTGATGAAGTATTACAATGTCTTCTATATGAGATCCAACTTGGCCAACTTAGCAACTTCGCTAGATGACTGTGGAATTGGTTTGTGGTTAAACAAACGTTCTTACTAAGTGAAAACTTGTGTCTACTTATCGTCCTAACATTCTCACTTAAATTCATGCTTTAAAGGTACTCAGTTTTCCACCGGCATTGAAATATGGCTCATTTTAGGGTCGCCATGATGCGCACTTTTGACCATTAGTTAAAGTGGTTCAATCGCCTCGTGTGATATAAGTTTCGCTACCAACTGATCAAATGGCTGTGAAGGAAACATTACCAGTAGCTTACTAGTTTATTCCACGAAACGATATAATTATAACTTTGTGCTCATTTTTATCACTCATACCACTGATTGCTGGATAAGCCGTCGCATTGGTTCAAAATTCTTGCTATTCATCTTAAAGTGGAACTGTTACAGTATTTCAATTAGATCAAAACCCAATTAGACAAACTAACAACACCCTGCCGAATTAACCCTCCCTACTTTAATTTGAAGTAGATTCGCTTTCTTGCTTCTTTAACGTAGTTTGGATTTGGCATGGGAACACCTGGCGAAACGATATTAGTTAATGCCAGAACTGACGTGTGGCAGTAACAGGACGCAAAGCTTACCCATCATAATCAGGTCCTTTCTCATTGGCTCCCATCAGCCAATCAAAGTTAAAGCTTAAGACTGGGCTATAAAAGTTGTGCGACCGTAATCTTCATATTACTGCGTGGATTCGCAATCGTCCTCGTGCTCCGTTTGTTCTTCGAGGTCTTGGATTCTTTTTTCAAGATGGTAAATGTCTATTAATTTTCCTGGTTATTGGTATTTTCTTGTAGCGTGAATGTATCAGTATTCATGTTGGTCAAGCTGGTGTCCAAATGGGCAACGCCTGTTGGGAGCTGTACTGCCTGGAACACGGAATTCAGCCTGATGGACAAATGCCGAGCGATAAGACCATTGGAGGTGGTGATGACTCCTTCAACACTTTCTTCAGTGAGACTGGTTCTGGGAAGCACGTTCCTCGTGCAGTCTTTGTCGATCTCGAACCGACTGTTGTTGATGAGGTTCGTTGTGGAACCTATCGTCAACTCTTCCACCCGGAACAACTCATCACTGGGAAGGAGGATGCCGCTAACAACTACGCTCGTGGACATTACACCATTGGCAAGGAAATTGTTGACCTCGTGTTGGATCGTATTCGTAAATTAGCCGATCAGTGCACTGGTCTTCAGGGTTTCCTGATTTTCCACTCTTTCGGCGGTGGCACGGGATCCGGTTTCACCTCGCTTCTGATGGAACGTCTCAGTGTTGACTACGGCAAGAAATCCAAGCTAGAATTCTCTGTGTACCCGGCTCCTCAAATATCTACAGCTGTTGTTGAACCTTATAACTCCATCTTGACAACCCATACCACTCTGGAGCATTCCGACTGTGCATTTATGGTTGACAATGAAGCCATCTATGACATCTGCCGGTAAAATAATAATATTTCTGTTCTAAATACCCTCATTTAGGCGCAACCTCGATATTGAACGTCCAACCTACACTAACTTAAATCGTCTGATTGGCCAAATCGTCTCTTCAATCACCGCGTCTCTGCGTTTCGATGGCGCTCTCAACGTTGATCTGACCGAGTTCCAGACCAACTTGGTGCCTTATCCACGTATTCACTTCCCTCTGGCCACTTATGCTCCTGTCATTTCGGCCGAGAAGGCCTACCACGAACAGCTGAGCGTTGCGGAGATCACTAATGCCTGTTTCGAGCCGGCCAACCAGATGGTGAAATGTGATCCTCGTCACGGCAAGTATATGGCCTGCTGCATGCTCTACCGTGGTGATGTGGTTCCAAAAGACGTCAACGCTGCCATCGCTACCATCAAAACGAAGAGGACTATCCAGTTCGTGGACTGGTGTCCCACTGGTTTTAAGGTTGGCATCAACTACCAGCCACCTACTGTGGTCCCCGGTGGTGATCTAGCCAAGGTTCAACGCGCTGTTTGCATGTTGAGTAACACCACTGCAATCGCCGAGGCCTGGGCTCGCCTAGACCACAAGTTTGATCTTATGTACGGCAAGCGTGCATTCGTTCATTGGTACGTCGGTGAAGGCATGGAAGAAGGTGAATTCTCTGAGGCTCGTGAAGATCTTGCGGCTCTGGAGAAGGACTACGAGGAGGTTGGAATCGACTCTGTCGAAGCCGAAGGCGAAGAAGAGGGCGAGGAGTACTAAATTACCGATTGATATCACAGCCCTAAGTGTTTATCAATAGTTTGCTCGTCCCTCCTCTCCATGTGCTTTTCATTTCCTCTTGCGTTCCCATCTTTCATGTCAACTTCGTGTCTTATTTCCATCATTAATGAAATTTTAACATCTTTATGTTGTATCTGTTGTCGTCAATCTGGGATTCTCTTTTATTGGTCCGCCATAGTCTGGTTGAGAAGATGGCATCAATATTCTAAGGAGTGCAAATTGTTCCTCAGTAATTTTTACTAAAAACCTAACCGCTCCAGATCGTAAGTAGGCCAATTTAAGGACGTACAAATTGATATTTGGTAGTGTTTGCTGCGGGGTCTCATCACACCAAATTCTAGGTTGACCTCTTATGATTTATGTTCGTATCCCTGAATGGTTCCGTATTAATGCCTACACTTGTAATGAATAGCCTATTACACATTATATGAGAACTTTGTTGGAATAGTTGAGTGTCCGAGCTACGTCCGAAATTCCATTCCAACTGGGTGTTATGTAACCAAATGTCGACTTTCCCGTAGCTCAAGGCAACTGATCTGAAGCGATTTTATTACTTTGTGCGCATTTAACGTGTTTGGCGAATCGTATGCGGAGATTTTGTTGAAGTGATATTGACTCACCTGTCCGTGTATTTGAGTGAAATCGCCTTTTAGACTGAACCTTTTCACTTACCGATGTTACTTAATTCTTAAATTGCACATTTACTGAAAGTTGAGCTTCAAAAATACATGTTCATACTTAATGATGCAAGCATTCTGTACGTTGGAGAGACCTCATGAGTCAACATGTTTATCCTTCGTTAAATTCCATCCATGACTTCTGAGTTACGTTGTTCAAATGCGAATGCAACTCAAGTCACAACTACCCCAAGGTATGAAGCCTTCTACACTGGGAGTCTCAACACCTAAGAGATTGCATCGGCTTATTTTCGGCTTGTGATTGTAGTTTATGCCACATTCAAAATGTCGGCGTCGATTAAATCAGATTTATCACAATCAGTACTTGGATAGCATATTTGAACGACAGTTGATTACTTTATACATCACCTTAGTGAGATACAAAGGCGATAGCTGTTACCCGAAAAGTAAATCATTTCATTAAGAAATATTTTTTAGTAGAATTTCAAGGCAAGGCCCTTCCAAAATATATTCTGGGGCAAAAATTAAACATGATGCAAAAATTTATTAAAAATTTAATTACTAGCTGGGATCTTGCCTTCATTCAGGTTGTCAACGCAATTCAAACCGACGTTTGTACCGGAAATTCATGAACACTTAAACACACTTTCCCTACTTTCACCTGCAGTCCCACCTTCATACAAATTCCAAAATCAAATTTAAGTGACGGTCTGCACAAAAAAACTTGCATTGGAAGGGCAAGCGGTTTATTACGCCCCATACAAGGCGTTGCCAGAGCGACGACTGAAGCGATTTTCTCGCGTTGCTAAGCTCGCTTGTGTGTGCGCTTGACACAACCCAAGCGAGCCTTTCTTCTCGTACCGTAGCAACGCGGAGCGCGTGGGCACTGACATGCAGCGATGCGCACCCACTCATGCGCATGCGCATTACGCGTGGCAGCGTGATTCAGTGCGCGCACCTACGCGCGTGCAAAAGCTGTTACGGCAATCGATAGTGCCGAAGCCAATCAAAAAACGCGACGCGCGTCGCGCAGCCCAACTTATCTCGAAGGCCGGCGCTATGGTGACTAAGCTCCGGTCCGTGGATAGGGCGAATGCCAATTCCCGGCATCTCTTTCGTGTTTGGCAATCGTGCGAGCATCTTAGGCTAACCTCTCCGTTTGCGTACAATTGTTGAATGCCTCCTGGCTTTACGTGATTCACTTACTGTGTTATATCTGCATTTCTTTTGCCATTTTGAAGATTTTCAAGTTGACGGACTTGATTCAGATACAGAAACTTAAGTCCTCACATGAAAATCTAAGGTTAGCAACCAAGTTTAAAGGCATATTCCAAGTCTATAACAAATTAGCAGGTAATAACAATAGGGACTGCTGACCAAATCGCATTAGAAATAGTCAGTCTTGTAATGCCCAGACATTGATGCTATGGTGGTTATCCAATGCCAATCAATGTCTGTCTTAACATCTAAAGTGGAACAGAGTTAATGCAAGTAGGTGAGATATGGTGTGAGGCAACTGCGTGGCGCGATTCACGAATGTTTTTTCAAACTTACTGGCTCCCAATTACGAGTTTAAAAGAGCTTTCGCAAAAAGTGTTTATCTTGGAGTCATTTTGCACTAATACTTTACGGTTTTAATCGTCCCCTGTATTGACTCAAAAGGTACCCTTAATTGTGCCTTTTAACGAGCTAAACGGCTTGTAGCCTTGCCATCTTGGTTTGTGTAGATCATGAAAAATAGCCAATCGCCGATATTTTGACACTAGTTTATGCATACTCGCGCCAACATCCTCACTCTAGTGAGGGCTGACCATTAACCGTTACTTTCACCGCACCATTCACAATTATTGGAAGAAGGCATTTCTCAGATTAGTCCTGATTTTTGTGTCACCCGTGTGGTGCCTACCAGCTTCTCCTTAATTTCACCCAAGTTTGCTGTTGTGTTCTAGCACGTTTAGGTCCTTTACAATTTCTCTTTTCGTGAGCCGTTTATAGATAACTACACGAAAAGCCTGCTAGGTGCCATTAATTTTACTATAGTTTTTAAATGACTTTGCAAAATAGGGGCGAAAGTGAAGAGTCATGCCCTTGTTTTTTCGATGGAATACGGTAAGCACACATCTGAGTGACTACTGAATCACCATAGAATGCGTGCCCTTTGTCTGGCTCATCAAATGCCTTTTCTCTATGTTCCTTTCCTACTATCGTCGCCTTCCCACGGGGCTAAGAAATTAGCAGTGTTTGATAATAGTTTAACGGGATTCACAAAAGTTAGGAAAGTGTCAGCCTAGCCAGCAAACGAAACGAGTCAGTTCTTAGGACAGGTAAGGAATCTCTCGTGTAAGTTAATTGCTACAGGTTTCAGAAGGGCTGCAAATTATTCAAACCTCATACAACTGATCTGACCTACAGATGTCCTCATTTCATCCCGAACTAAGACTGTTTGCAATCGAGAGAGGGGAAACGAAGCCCATGTGAACTAATCAATAATCAGAACTGCATTCAGTTTTTGCAAGAAAATCCCCCACACTTTTCCATCAGCAGTTTCGGTAAAAGCAAAACAATTTCTTAACCGGGTGAATATAATGGCAATGGAACGTCGATTAATATCTCAGCATTTCGTTAATCTTCTAATTGGACAGCACAAGAAGCACGGGGCAATAAACGTCACTGGCGAAGGCGAAGTGTCAGTACAATCAAAAAACCCTTTTAATCGTATGATCTTATTTTTCGAGTTGTAAATAATGGAGTACTTGCAAACAAACGTGTCTAAAAGTATCAAGCCTAACGAAGGTTCACTGCTTCGACGATGAGTTAATTACACAAACAAATAAAGTTCGAATATGAAAAAAATAGTGAATTATTTTGGTTATGCAAAAGGACAAATTAGCATGTTGGTCCGAAAATTTTACTCACTCGCCTTACCTTTTAGAATCCATAATGGAAAAGGAAGCGGAAGCATGCTTATGTGGTACTATTATGTAATACGATAGTGGTTTATCCCTCGGTACTGGTTAGGCACCACTTTTGTGCTTTGAATTAGTCCCCTTGTACCTCGCTGGGTGGGCTGGCCTTTTGGGCCATGCCAGTAGCCCAGGCATCTTCTCCGTACTGAATATATGTATTCTGCCAGAGTATTGTGTCTTCTTTCGTCTTCAGGGAGTTTCGGGACGCCACAATTAATACGTAAGTAACGCTGATACAAATTACATCGAAAAAGTATGATTGATTACCACATGAGTCAGTAGTTGAGTTGGGAAGTGATTTTCACACCTAGAAGATGAAAAGATTAAACCAAATACTTATTACACCGGAAAACAACGAAGGCAGAATCGTGGATGCTTTTTTAACATATTGGACAAGTGGCTGCGATATTCATCAATTTAAGTGGTTTTCCATATGTTTTCCAAAAATGAATTTAAAGTGAAATCGTTAGTTCGTTGCATTCTTTAGAAAAGTGCTTGTGCCAATAGTGTCTTGCGTATAGGCTAAAAGGTGCAAAACATGGAATAACCTTTGATAGATGCATTTCAGAAAATTAATAAATGATCAGCCCTGCCTGGATATAATTATGTTCAGTTATACGCAACGGTAGGCAAATTTTAAAAAATACTAATTAACTGCTAACATCCTCTCAAATAGATCTGGCTTTTATACTTAAACAAATAGTCGTGAAACAGATTGGGTTTGTTTGCTCATATACGCCATATAGGCGGGTATTTCATAGAAATGCCGGATATTTTTCGAGAGGATGATCAGTTTAGGTGCTGTATGTATCTCCACGTACGTACAGGCACTGTTATTTTGGGTGTTCTCCACATTCTGCTGCAGTTGGTGGTCGTTTCTACTCTTCTCATGGCAGCTTTGAAACACGATGTAGCTACTCTGAAATCTCCTTTCGACACCGTAGCTACCACTAATTGTCAGCCTCGAAGCCCGCGTAAGTAGTCAGATATGTGAAATTGTTGCCTATTTACTTAATACTCTGCCATTTGAATTTCACTTTTGCTAAATCATGCATTTATTTTAGCGACAGACATTTTTTATATGCTCATGCACGTCGTACCCGGATTCACCATATTCCACCAATCTCACTCTGATTTTACCTCGCGTTTTCGCGCTGAGAATATATCTCACCGGGAGGTTTTTGAGGCACCGCAAGATTCCACCAAATCAGACAGCCTATTCAATCTCCTCATGGGTGGAACTAGTAATTCGCCGAAAGATATTAAAGAAGAGACCACGGTAAAAGGGGAGGCCGAACCAGTTACACAAAACGAAGCTGTTAAAATCACCACATCAAAGGCTTCACCAGGCCCTCGCTGTGTAGATCGGCGCACGAACACTTACTTCTCCCTCTGCCTCGCTCTCATCTCCCTTGCTTTTGGCTACCTTCTCGTTCATGGTGTTATTTCCCGTCAGCCTGCTCATCTGCTTCCATTTTTCTGCCTACAAGTCTTTGATTTTGTCGTCGCTCTCATCTGCATGTTGGGGTACATGTCGTCAGCCTCGGACATTAGTCACTGGCTTAGACTTAAAATTGCAAGTCAGGTTGGTTTTTTAATCCTAGTATTCGTTCTCATCACCTTTTTTCTGGGATTATTTTAACCGGGAAATCGGCGGTGTAGGACATAGTGCCATGGATTTAAGGCATCTTGTTGTCGACCGTAATGTGATAGTTGTATTTTTATTACTTTCATCCAGCTTTACTGCGCATAACTTTGTGTAGCCAAAATTTAATACACAAGAGTTAACTCAGCGAAAAGTCGCTTGAATGCTCATTAGTGAGGCCGTTTAATTGATATGTCGAATATGCGACAATCCGTCGCGAAGTGTTATCAGCCACCTTTTCGACCTGGTTATCCGTCTCAATAATTATTTTCTAGTATTACCGAAACGTATAAGGGCTTAACTCTTAATCATTGTTTGCTTTATCCCATAATTACCATCACACTGCATGGTAGTGATTTTATGCACTAGAAGCGTAAGGTGAATACATTTGCATACACAGGTGTTACCATTTTCGGTATGGTTATCGGAAAACTAGATCACTGTCATAATTTTTTAGGGAAGTGGATCAAATCTCCAATAACTAATTTTGATGGGTCATGTAAAAATCTGTTTTACCTTTTGATATTAAGTTCTGAGCATTTCATTTAACCTACTGACTTAGTTGAGACTAAACGCTGAACCTTTTGGATTATGTACGTTTAGTTTATATTACTATAGTTTAATTCTCCTTTCTCGGCATATCACAGTTCAGTTTCATGGGTGTCGTGTTTGATCTGCAATTATTGTAAAGTAGTGGTCAATTTTCATATTAATGTATTTTGTTTTCCCAAACTTCCCCTTTAGGAAGGCGTGTCAACCTCCTCGATCCACCTGAACTCCACCTCTGTGTCGCTAATCCTCATTTCCACCTCCTGCCTCATTCTTGCCTTCAAGGCATACTGCATCGGGATGGTGTGGGACTGCCACCGTTACCTCCTTATCACAAATCGCCATGGTCTCCTGCCTGACTTCTCACTCTCTGGTATTTCGCACTTTTCCCTTGCTCCCTTTTTTGGTCGTCGGCCCCTCCTCCTCATCCGACGCAATCGTGGTGACAGCAGCAGTGGCTCCGGCGGCAGAGGCGGTGATGGAGGTCCGCCTGATCTCACCTCTGTTAATGGTACTGCCGGCGTCTTTGTCGACGCCGTGCCCACGGAACCACCTAAGGACTCTGCCTTGCCAAAGTATGAGGTGAGTTGCGCCGAAAAATAAAGATGTGGAGTTCTGACGGTGAATTACAGAGCTGAATCGTTGCCACGGTGATTAACTTGAGATCGCCTCATATGCATTATCAAAGCACACTCATAGGTGTCCTGCTACACTTTCGCGATGATGAAATATTCCAGATCCTGGGCATTACCGAAAAAAAAGTTCAGTGTGACTCCGTTGTGATAAACCTGCCACTTAACATCACATGTCTATTGGACACTAGTGGCAAAAAGGCGACTGCGAATCCACTTTGTTCTGATTACCATGTGCTTATGGTAAGTTTGTCTTTCTGGAATGGATAGTCATGCAAAGTTTGAAGACTGAAGTCGCCTCCGTTAGAGAGAAGCATGGAGCACATTTTTCCCTAAAAACCATTGTACTAACACGCCTTAATATCGTGGTTCACCCTTCTTTTCGGAAGTCATGCTAGAAGTGCCAGCTTAGGAATGAGAAAATGAAGAAATTGAAAAACATTTCTGATTTGAGTGGTCTCTGATTAGTCCATTAAGTAATTGTTTCAAGAAAATAGTTGTATGACACATGTTGTTTGAAGATGTCAGTCTTCAATCAAGCGCAACCACTGCCACCAAATGCGTACATATTTCGCGCAGTAATTGTACAGCAGAAGTATGTTATTATATCTGCTGTGATTCGGTAAGTGATAGTTGGGCCTGGGAGTCAGTGACCAAGTCTCTCTAACTTGGTGGTCTCACTGTTTACAATAATTCGGATAAGAAGAACCGTCGGCAAGCTTCTGCATAATGGAAGTCGTCATTTTTTCCTTCATAAGCGCAGAATCCCCCAATTTGAGATTTTTTGGGAAAAATTGGCGTTTGAACTTGTGATCCTTGTATGGATGGATTAGTATTACTTCTTATGCTATAATATGCAAGAGCATAACAACTATTAGTCTGCGTTCTTACAATGGATATCTAGTATGTTTTATAGGGAAAGTGGACAGACATCTCAGATACTAAACAAGTTAGGATGCTGTTTTACATATCGGTGCTTTTGAAAAGTTATTGATGTTTTTTAACTACCTATAGGTACTGAACAATCGTATCTCAACAAATAAAGGATATTTAACAGTACCTTTATTATATTTCACATTGGTACAGTACTTTTCTTCAGTTTTGTGAAATTTTTTTGTTTTTCTGTACGACAGCGTCAATTAGGTAACGGGGTACTCATCTGTATCGCATATTCGAAATTGACGTCGCTGCAGCTGTTAGTGCTCTTATCTCACTAACCTCAGTATTCATCTTATCTGTCTACTCATGAGATTTCGTAGGGTCGAATCCGTATGCGTCGCAGTTTGGATGCACTTGCACTACTGCGTTTTCTTACCTCGTATTGATTGCTGTTGTGAGGACTCATTGTGTTTTTGTATTTACAATGCAGACGCGGTTGTTTTTGGTAAATGCCACTTTGTAGGCATGCTAATTAGGTGCTACCACATACAATCTCAATTTTAACAGACTACATCAATTTCCTTCTGTTTGTGTTGGCTTGTTAAAATCACGTGTCTGATCGAGCATAGTGAAATTAAAGTACGTGGAAATCACATCACTTTATGATGGTCCTCTGTGCTTCAGGGCTATTCAAATTTCCACTTGCAATAATTTGATAGTAATGTTTGTATTTTTTCATTATTCTAAGGGTATCATTCTTCTTGCGCTCAAAAGTTTTATGGATTCTTTGGCCGGTTCAAGTCACTCTTCAGTAGTGATTAACGTTAGATTTCAGAGCCCCCAAAATCGACTTAATTAATTTTCAGATATCTTTTTGAGCTGATTTTATTGCCAAAAGTTTTTTTTAGGAGGCTCTAAGCATTCCGGCTAACGCATTCGCACCACCACCGTACTTCGCCCCCAAATCGACGGAGGAGACGAAGGGTGGGCTACCGACAACATGTCCTACCACCAACACCGCGGACACCGCTGCTGCTGGCGTCGCCAACGTCGACGACGACAGGAAGGACGATGGAAAACAGTGCTCCTCCCCAGGTCCTAGCATCGTCTGAAGTGGGGTCCTTTGCGTGGTTTAATTACTTCCTTGCTCGCTTATTTGCGTGCGAGCTTATGAACACACTCGCTAACGCACAAACACTCCTTATATTTACCCCATCATGGCCCTTTCATTCTTCACGACGGCTACTCCCATCGTAGATTCAAACTAATGTGTTTTCCCCCTTTCATATAAACCCGATTTACGGAGGTCTGAGCACATGACGGCATGGGTACGGTGGGTGTCTCAACAAATTATTTTTCTGCGGTTAATTTGAAACGATCCCTGCCTCACTTTTCCCCGTTTTCCCTATGCCATTCTAAATGCGTCTAGTTTACACTTGTCTCCTTAAAATTCTGCCGGCTGTCACATCCGTGTATCAGAGATCTGGATTGGGTCATCGGGAGTTTTATAAAGTTGGATCGGTATGGTGGTTTGAGGAAGACTACATCCTAAGAGTCCAAGTGGGTACGTGTGGTTATGCAGATCCTGTTGCTAGGATGATTATTGGCAGCTTAATTTGAAACCAAAGTGTTTGGAACTTTTGGTGGTTGCGCCAAATGTCTTTTTTTCACAGGTTCTGGCTTGAGGGAATGGTTTTGAATCAATTGAGTTGCAAAATAGGTGTGAACGGACATGGTTTGTATGCATCAGGGTCATAGTAACTGGCAGTAGTCCAACGCACGTGCCACCTGTGCAAAGTCTGATGGAGGGATGGTTCGTGTGTCTTCTTCAGAGATCTGTGCTTGTTTTGTCAATTTTAGCATCCACTAGACCACCCTAGTTAGGGCTGATTTTGCGACATCGGGCATGCTTTCCCCCAGCAGTCTTAACCTACGCGTTAGTTTAATTTTGACCATTAATTGTGCCGACAATTTGTTTGCTTTAAGTGAGAACGCAAACGAGTGAGAGTTTAATTTCACGGTTGGTGAGTCAGCACTTCTGCTCGGAAGGCAAAATAGTCGTCTGTCAGTGGGCGAAAAGGAAAATAAGCGGTGTGTGATGCTCTCGACGTGTGCGTTGATCGCTCCGTCACGTGCGCGTCTGGGGTTATCCGTGTGGGTTGGAGGCGGTCTAGTTCATCGCCTGTGATCTTTCTTCCTTTCTGTTATTAGAAGTGTTTCACTGGCTTTCTAACTTGCAAAATAGTGTGGGCTCAAGTCACTAATCACCTTGGCCAAATCAATTCGATGTGCTCGTTTGAGGTCATTGGCGGAAGTCAATCGGTTAGTTTGATGATCACATAAGTGATTTATGGAATATTGAAATGGTTGCCGATTCTATTAAAACATCAAGAACTCCCAATTTTTGAACAAAATACGATTCATCATGCATCACAATCAATACATCAACACATGAATCACTTGAAAAATAACAACAACGGCGGTCAGAAGTAGGATTTCTTTTTACAGACTACCAATTATCCCTCCTTGATTAGCGGTAACAATGGCAATTGTTCCTTCATGGGTTCCACTTAAACCAGTCACGCTTTTTATCCGCACCATACCAACTACTTGAGGCTTCGGTGCTTTTATTGCACATTTTTGTGACAACATTCACATCTATCACATCGGTTTACTCCCTACATTTGATTGAAACGATGAAAGTGACTTTGTGAATATCCGCCTTCCATCCCCACATAAACTTAAATTTGAATGTGACTGAAAGCAATTAAGTTAGGAATTGAATTCGACTCCATGCAACTTTTGGCATTCTATTGCATCATAATGCTTAACACGCGATCGTGACTAAATGTGCAATTTTAAATGTATTCTAAACTAAATATCCTGTCTTCAGTTGAAATATTTAAGCTTACCATCTGACAAATTCCTTAAAGTGTAGCCATCTCCACAACAAATACAAATTTTTGGTAAAATCGTTTGTCAGATGGCAGCAGGTGTAATTGTCACCATAAATTGGGCCATATTTAGCTATAATAGGTCAGTGTTTTATGAATAGCCTGATCAGCAAAAATGCTTCACGTGATGAGAAGGTTTTGTGATGGTAAAATACACGAAGCAGTTGATCACTTTGTGTGTGCTATGGATGCAGTAGGAAAGTGCACTTAGACTCCTCTGTGTGTTTATGAAGGCTGACTGCAATGCCTGCGGGAAAGTAGTAGCAAATGCCGCATGCTCCTGCAGAACTCGCACGCCTCTTCTGCTCAGCCTACTCGGAATACGTTTGAGGAAACCACTAGTTCCATCTAATTGCGTGGCCTGCCTGAAGTTAATGAGTGGTTGCGCTGCAGTTTCATGGGTTTACTCCAGAAGAAAAAGAGAATACTTGGCACCGAGGTTACATTTAACAACAATTAAATGTTCACTTTTCTTGAAGACCTTCAATTTTGTGCAAGAAGAGGTGGGATTGTACACGCTTACCCACTACAAACCATTTTATTGGCACATAATTGATGCCCCTGGCATTCTAATTTCTTTCGGAATTGTACTACTCGACCGGATACACTGCCACGACAATTGATCTTACGGCAGAACTCTCACAAACAACCGAAAATAATTGTGTTGTGATTTATTAAGAACAATTAAATTGATGTTATTATCGAGTATCTCACTAAAGAACTATATGGGCTTCAGTACCAGTAGAAAGCAAGTGGTACTAACGATTTAAACGAGAACTCTTTTTTATAGCCGTGTTATTTTGATATACTTGTGCCTGCTTAGCAGGCTAGCTGTGAGAGAAACTAGGTTTTTGAATGCGCACCATGGACTGAAATGTCTTCTGTTAAAAGTAGTCTCACTATTACTTAAGATGCCTTGAATCACTCCCACTGTTATTTGGAACACTATAGAGGCTACATATTAGCACAATCAGATGAAGAAATTTCACGTAGAAGGACACCATCGAAACCATAATTCTCACATATCTCCCAATCCCTCTTCCTCCTCCTCATTTTTGCTATCCAGAGAATCTTGTATGGCAATGTTCATGCGTCCCGTCATCTTATTGCGCAATTGCATAATCGGTTTGACGAGTTTTATGCGACAGATGAGTTCCAGAGCTTCAGGATCTTTACTCACCTCAGCAATCGCCCCATCATTGGTGAAAGTGCCGAGGAAATTCGGGACCGAAAAGATGGTAAGTAGTCTTTCATCACAGAAGAACTCGTAGCCCTTTTCAAGGAGCTCATTGGAACGAATGATCTGTTGAATGCCTAGGCGTTCACAGAAGCTCTTCACTACCGAGGGTCCGTAGAGGTAGGCCAGACCTGCAGGGTTCTGCTCCCACCCATTAACCTCCGGATCAGGCTCTGACCAGGTGTAGTGGGTCATTAGAATGTTCGTATTTATTTCGGTTGGTCGAGGAGTCAGTTTCGCTACGTAGTCACGGAATTCCTGGAGACTGGAAACCCCAGAAAATTGGACACTAGGTGACATTCCGCTATGGCAGCAGAATATCTTCTCCTCAATGATCGCAATCAAAGGGAGGTAATCAAAAGTGCTGACAAAGGCACGCCACAGACGCCGATTATATCGTTTGACGCATTCGTCAAAGAAGCCGTAGTGGCGAGAGATATGCTGACACTCGTGATTACCTCGCAGAAGATAGATGTGACGTGGATAGCGCAGTTTCAGGGAGTAGAGAAAGGCAAGGGTTTCAATAGACCGTGTACCTCGGTTGATGTAGTTCCCAAGAAAGAGGTACCGGTTTTCCGGTGGGTAGCCAAGAAGCATAAAAATTCGTAGAAGATCACCAAACTGACCATAAATGTCGCCAACAATGTAGAGTGGCGAGGCCATGTAGATGTCCATTACTATAGCGTCTTCCATCAATACGTCTGGCATTACACTACAGAGATGGGTAAGCTCCGCCTCCGACATTTGGGCGTACTTGCCTTTCAGCACCTGGTAATCCGTTAGGCGTTTTATAAGGTGGTCGACTTTTTTGAGCATCTCCTTACGCGATATTGCGGTGCAGCCAAAGCCACAGCTCTCAACCATTTCGACACTGGCGCGTCCACTGAGAATTACCGCGGTTTATTGATCGGAGACAAAGCGTGAATACCTTGAATGTAAGGGGCTTCCACCAAACCAAGGCTTGGTGCTAGGATGAACAGGCACTAGTAAAGGAGAGTGCTGTTGCTCCATCTTTCAATGAGTGTGTATAGATTACCACCGCCCTACATATCGAGTGTAGTTATGTAAATTACGCGCACTTAATGGTTCTTTTATACAATGATCGTCACTATGAAGACGTGGGAAACTTCAAAAAAGATAGCATAGAATTTGTTTTAAGTAAGTATTTTCGGGAGACAAAGTATGTTTTAGAAGATAACATGCCTTTATTAACTAAGTGGCAGTGTGCGACTGCAAATAGATGAACATTTAGCCAGACTTACTAATACAGAGTATTTATGAACGACCCACATTCCCACTAAATCAGCTAGTTTACTCCATCTTTAACATTAAAATAGCTACTTGTTACTGTAATCCAGCAGTAGTCAAGTCACCATCATTTTCCTTTTCATTTACAGTGATAGTTAAGGCTACAAATCCTCCCAAACTGTGAGATCGCTAAAACAATCCACTTCGGTAGCTTGAATCCTTCTTTGAAGAACTCCTGATTTGTAGCCAGGCAAGCAGCAGACAACAAAAAGCCACCTGCTCATTTTCGCACACCCTGCCTGTGCACACTGTACGTGGAATGACAAGGTGTTACCTTTGAAGAACCAAAATATCGGAACTCAAACGTTCAAAATGTTGGCAGAAAATTGGAGAAATTCAACCCATTTAGAAATTATGCGACACCCCTCAAATTCATCATTGCTCGCACTTCGCGGCCAATTTAGCCAGCTAGTGCATAAACCCATCTTGCGAAACAATGGAAGACCATGCATTTCTAGTTGTCTCACAGCCTAGTAGGTTAACTCATTATTAGAAATTAGTTCTACCCAATAATAGTACTTCTAATACTTGACATTTAATGAAACCTGTGACTTCTTGTTTTTACCCTCAATTTTACATGCACGCCAGATCTCGGCAATTCCCTCCAAAAATATCACAATTTGAACACCGTTTTCTTTCCATACATGGAGCATGATACCCATTGTTAAAGCGTGTGTTTGAATTCCCCTCCACGATACTACAGAATGATAAAGCTGCAAATATATGTGAAAACATGCTAAAACGAGTCAGTCTCAAATGTTTAGCCAATACGAATACCGACGCCAGAATGAAGAAGACACCATTAAAACTCGGTAACATGTACGCCCAGTATGTTTTATTTGTTTGCGGAATTTCCTTCCATACGTTTTGGAACTTCAAGGAACGAGGAAGAATACCTGACATTCCCCTTACTTTTTGGCAAAATTTCAACTGGATAATTGATACCGGTTAAAATGGTATACCTAACAGTAAGAACACTTCAGGTTTTACTCCAAAAAACACAACACTCCTCACGAAAGCATCGGATTAATTTGTGGAATCTATATTTCATTGAAATGGTTCTTATTGGAAAAGCACAGCCACCTCATCTTGGCATGCTGACTAAGCATCGTCCGCCGGGAAGTCGAGTGCCTTCCGTTGGTGGATAGCCCCTGGCAGAGAGGTAGTTATTCGTAGATTTACTGCGTTTATTTGTATCATGGCACTGCATGGGAGTCCAGTCTACTGTGCTACAGCCCTGCTGACTACAGTGGCTTTGACCACAACTTCTCCACATCTCTAAACTACAAAAGGACCATTTGTAGGCTGCTGTATCTTGTATTGGGTTCTATTGTAATTTCAATATTTTCTATTCAGACTTTAGTCCGGGGCTGTAAGGAAACCTCGGAGTAGCTACCATGCCTTACGGCCAAGAAAGGAGGCACATTTTAGGCTAGTATTTTTAAGCATAACTTATGGCAAACCACGGTAGATTCCTGACTAGTGTATGGAAAGTGGAAATTTTTTGACGAACAAATTGACTACAATGTCAGTTTAAATGCTTCAATGCAACATTTGTGTAAATCCCCAAAGCGCAAATGACGCACGAAAACACACGTGCCCTACACGAATTCAGCCACTAAAGGAACCTAAATGAGCCACGGTTTTATACTCCTCTAGGTGCTAATTTAAGGCTGCTACCTGATTATGCATTACCGAAGCCGATTTTGTATCGCTTGGACGTCCCTAGAACAATTGGGTCTTTTGCTGGACAGAGAGGGGTTAAGGAAGAAAAGCGGCTGAGGACCCCTATGCCTAAAAACGGGCAATAAGTCAACCACTGGCATTCCAGCAGAACCTGACCCGATGTTACACCAAGGCTTGTAGGACTTCTAAAGTGCCACACCTAAATGAGGCCTTCGCACGCGAAACAAAGAGGCGGGGACCACCCCGCGGCAGAATTTTAGTTCCCAGTGCAGAGTGCGTGGGAAGAGAATTGCAGCAGATCACAACGGGCTTGGCGCCATCTGACTAATTTTACAGCCGATCGCGGCATGGAACACCAGCGAGAGTGCCACGGTCCACCAAAAATAGCACCCCTCCCATCGCGTTTAGACCATGCTGCGACTCAAAATAAAATCACACCCACCCCAAGCACGAGCTTAGCGACACGACAGCATTGCGAACTAGCAACCAAACCCAGCATAGCAGCCTACTCACATAAATGAGCAGGCCTTGCCCCCTTCATCCCGTAAAAGAATGCAGAATAAGTAACTGAGGTATGCAACACTTCCTACAATAACGCAATCTACCTGAGCCAAAAACAGGCACAGCTAGCCAACACTTTATAAAATGTCCACACAGAGGTAGAGGGGAACGACATTGAAAGATATAACGACTGCAAACAACGCATACTTCGATTCACGCTTTCGGTACGAATGTCGAACAAATTAGTCCAACGCATACCATCAAGCAGGCTAGAGACTGCACTGCCATGAACACTATGAAAATCGACATCCACAGGCTGTTAGGAAGCAAGTTACCTAGTAATTAGTAGTGAATACCTGAAACCCACTGTGAACTATGTTTAAAGAAGTCTGAAAGATTGCAGTAGAAAATGTAATGAAATGCAAAATCCTTAGCGTCGGATGAGTGGAGCCCCACGAAGAGGACGAGCGCGACCACGAGCTGAAATGACAGGTGTAAACAGTCCAACTCGGTCTTACATCCAGCACGAACGATGATATTTTTGCCACGCCCTGTTCCCAAGCCGCGAGCACCGAGGGGCCTCTTTAACATCGGAGAATTCTTCAGCATATCAGGCAAAATCAAAAACCTGAAATAATACAGATATGTGAGCGACAAACCTTATTTTACTTCCACGTATATACACATGCTGCAGACTGGAAGTTTTACCATCCCTTGCAGTCATAATTATTTCCTGCATGTGAACATTCATGTTATCCTCAGCTTCAATAAGTTTCCCACGAAAAACTTCACCATTAATTGTTTCCAGTGTAATTACATGGCCCTCGGCATCATGCAACACCTTTATGGGAACACCAACAGACGACATCCCAGTCGAAAATTCAGGAAGAGCGGACTGGTGGACGACATATCAAACAAAATAAAAACTTACAGGATTTTTTCAAAGGTTCAAAAAATGATCATAACATTGGTCAAAACACTTTAGTATATAACAACATTGAGGAATAAGGCTGAAATGGGGCATAGTCAGCTAAATTATACCAAGCATTTTACCAAATACACCTCCGAGAATTTGTAAAATGATGCTAATGTTAATTAATTAAAAAAATTTAGTTTTAAATAAGATTGTGAGATGGCAGTAAGGATCTAGCTGGAAATTTGGGTATCACAAGACATTGCCTATTATTTGGAAATTAAGAAGCAGCAAAGTTAATGCTTTGATCATTTGTTCAGTTAGTTACAAAGATTACAAGTAGACTTAGGTTAGCTTTTGCCGCATTTTTGCTCTGCGTCATTACATTTGAGAAATATTTGTAGACCCAAGTCCTCCTGTCGTTCAACAACTCATTTTACTTCAATGTTGCCCATTTGCGTCTTCAAAAAGGTCTGAAGAGCTATATGACTACTCCCTCTAGCAAGCATATCTGTTTAATTGACCAAGATATCAGGGTATGTTAGTAGCGTTATGGAAGCCAAATCTACCAACTAATGATGAATCTGTACTTAGGCTGCAAAATAAAGGCTTTTACTCCACCTTTTTTATTGTCTTATACATTTTTCGTTGTAAAGCGCAAAAATTCCTGTGGACCTTTTTAACCCGTAAGGGTTTGGTGATTGTGAGCACTTATCGTGTGTTTGAGCCCAACTGCTTTAACAATTACAGTGCCCCGACACTTCTCTAGAGTCAAAAGTAGACGTAATACTTGGACAAAACATATACATTTGACATACAGAAGGCATTTAGACTGCTGGCATGGCTTGAAATCCTCTCACCTCGACGTGGTAAAATGAGTAAGTTAAAAGTGGCTCATTAATCAAACTGAGAGTTAAGCAGTCACCGTGTTACAGCAATTTTTGAATTTCGCTGATTTTTTAGGTCAACTGGGAGTGCGTTTTTAATCAACAGATGCGCTTTCTTTTAGTCTGACTTAAAAAAACACTTTTCATCAAATTTTGCAGGCCATTTGATAAATGTGCGCTCCCCGTAGCTTTTGCCTTTTTTAGTGCTAATAATCTTGGCTATTAACGCGTTTTCTTTTAGACCTTAAAATTAAGCAGTGCTGACTGGCTCTGATAATACACATTTGTTTTAACTTACGGGAATACATATTTGTTTTAACTTACGGGGCATATTTTGAAGGCGATAGTTTGGACGGTTCGGTTTTGATTGTCCCTGCTGATGGCACATTTCTCCAAGCTTCTATCCGGTGATTCCTACCGCCTCCCCACTTTCCTTCCTCGTTATTATGGCGGCGTTATTCTAGTTGGTGTTGGCAGTTTTGCCATGCATATGTTCCTTGCTATGCGCGTGATCAAAGCACGCAAGGACTTCAACTTCCCAGTACTTACATAGAGTGCTTTATTGTTTATTTAGTGCCCCAATATGTACCATCCAAGCAATGATGAGTTTAATTGCATTCAAAGAGCTCACCAAAACTAGCAAGTTTTGTGTTAACTTTATCTTCCCCTTTCCATAGCTTGGAAGTTTTACCGATGTTCTTAATGGGACTTTTTGTCGGAGGGCTTTATTGTCCCGTAGGTTTTTCTACTTCATTCGACTTTTTAAGGTTGGCGCAACATTACTTGGTACGACCTACCTCGTTGGGCGCATCTTCTACTACAAGGGTTACACTAGTGGTGGTAAGCGCCTTCCTTCCATGTAGTCTTACTCTTATGCGCAGTCAACTTGGTGACTTGTTAGGATTTAATGGGTTGATTTTGCATGACGGCAGTAAGGATATTTCTCTGGGGGTGTAATATTAAACACCTTTTAATTATTGGAAGAATTTTACTTCTGACATTTTAGTCCCCTCCAACCGCAAAAAAGGAGTCATTGGATTTGTGGCCTTTATGGCTCTTATGGCAATGAGTGCAGTCTGCGGCAGTGCTCATCTCATCTCTAGCATCAGGTAGTTTATTTATTTTCGTTCAGGTGGGCTTCTTTGATCTTTGTCGACCTATTAGTGAAAGCTGTCTCGAAGCTCCTACCATAATCAGAACTAAATATATTAGCTTCAGCAACATTTGGGAACGTAATTTCTGTTATCTTTAGAAGAAATAAGTTCTTATTATTCGTAGCTCCTGATGCGATTGTGCTGTCTATGTTTGTCCTTATTTCGGCAAATTGCGGGTAGTGTTTGAAGTGGGGATACGATCAGGATACTGGCTTTGGTTAGTTGATCTATCTCGTGGGTAGATCGCTCTTGGGATAGGGTACATTTACATGCTGTTTTTTTTCGTTTTAGAGGCCCTCATTGCTGCCCCAGGCTGTCATCTTAATGCCTCTAGTTGCCACCATGGTCCTGAACCTTTTTGTTTAGCCTTTAACTACCCATTAGTTATTCAAATAGAATTTGCATTTCTGCTCTACTCACTTGATTATTCCGTCGCACATTGGATTTAGGTTTGACTTCGATTTTATGGTAAGTTTTAGGACACGTGAACTTGGTTGCGTCGGCTTGTTGTGATGGCCTTTGTCAGTCCGCACTCTTGTTGGTAGGTAGGTAAGGGAAGTATGATTTGCGGGCGTGAGGGTACCGGTCCTTTTGTCGCCGCCACCTTGGTCAAGTAGAATGTGGGAATGGTTTACGCTTTAGGGATCAGCTCGGAGTTTCCATGTAGGGGGTAGTCAATGGAGTTTTGTGTCGGGGCGACACAAGGGGTGTGGGCTGTGGCATCAGATCTCTGCACTCGTCGTGAGGTGCTCGCGCCACCCAGTCTACTGTTCGATCGGGCTGGCGACGTGTGGGCGGGTGGTGTTGGATATGAGAGGAGCTCGTGAGTAACTCTCGGGATGTGGTTTACGTCCAAGCCTTGATTGCACCATGCTTCGAAGATGTCATGGCGTCAAGACGATAAGGTTAGGACGTTGAAAGGTCTACTTTTCGACTCACGAAGCATGGTGATCTTACGACTGGCCCGGAGCCTAGGCTGGACCTTGATGGATGTCGGTGACTCGCCAGTGAACCCGATTGATTGCCTGAGTACTTTGTGGTGTCGTATCATCTGCTTGTCGTAGCGCGAGAATAGATCCTAGGAATCACGGGAAAGACGGTCGGGCTATGGGTAGTCTGTGCTCTAGTTTCATGGGAGGGAACTTTGGCAGCTGAAATTGATTTGTTAGTGGAGGCGAACCGCAATGAGGTGCTATATTGCGAGATGAGTAAGCGAATATCCAGTTAGTTTCCGTTTGGTGGAGTCGGTGTTGTAGGACTTATTCTCACTGTGACTTCGAAGCCGATATTTTGCAGTGGTTAGCTTTGAGTCGAGAGGCGAGTGTTTATTGTTTTGCACCAGGTTTAGGTGTGTCAATTCTTCAATGACATTATTTGAATGGGTACCTTCGAATATGCTCTTTATGTGTCTGAGGGGTATACGAATGGTCAACTAATAAATTTTATCGGCGAAGCGAGTTCGTGTTGGAACAAATTTTCCAGTTGGTAGAACGTTATGCGTCAGTTCCAGTGTTTCAAAGGCAGGAACGCCGTTAGTGCTACTTGTGTAGGGAAGGTGGGAATCTCTTGCATATTGTGTGTTGTAGTAAGAATCCAGATGCAAGTCATTCACTACCAATGTCACAAAAAATTGCTGATCTGAGACAGGTGTTGCAAGTGGACGCTTTTGCCTCCACGTTTTGTGATTGCAGAAAATCGTATTGCTGAAAACAATGAAATAGGTTCAGAGTTCTCAGTTTGAGGGCAGTTTCAATTTTGGTTGTTGAGTAGCATTTAAATTGGTCTAAAAGTTGACCATGATAGGCGTCACATTCGAACAAGGGAGCATCTTGACTAGTCGACATGCCAATAAGGCCTCAGAAGTGAACATGGTAGTCGATACCGTGGCTGCCAGCTCAGTGATTCAGCTTGAGGAATCGAAACCCCATCAGCGAGTAACCAGGCGCCTTTGTGTGCAAGACTCCACCTATTCTTCATCTTTCTTTTTCCATTGAATCTACCTCCAGTTCCGAATTGTAATCAGCAGTTGTACCTATCGGTCCATTCGGTAACTGTTTTATTTTTAGGGCTTACACAAATTCATCTTCATGATTTCTTCTGTCGAGGACATAAATGCACCACCCTAGTAAAGCACTCACGAGAGTGACCTTGTGCAAAGAGTAGGAAAATGGAATTTTAATGCACCCACCTTAGTGTCTCACTTGCTGCTGTAATAAGATAGCACTTAGGGTGAACAGGCCATACCGTCGTCCCAAAGCTACTAGGGACTTTGCTACTCCTTTCAGCCTAAATTTGGATAACAAAATTTAAGTTAATCAGCTTCTTTAAAAACCGACACTGTCATTTTGCTTCGATTGTTTTTGTTTATTTGCGATTTTAAAGGCGCACGCTTACTTTAAGTGTGTTTGGTTTAAATCGTATACTATTAACAAAGATGTGAAAGTTTTTGTTGAATATGAGTTACTCAATGGAAAAGTAGTCAGCCCAAAACATTGCCGTACAGGGGTGTATCTACTGTTAATGAACGTCCAAGACGTTGTTCTTTGGGCTAGAAATGTATGCTCTGAGGACTCTATTTGCAGAAATTAAGTCAAAACATTGAATTAACTGCAGATAATTTGCAGCGTTTGATGGACTTCCATTCCTGAGTGCTAAGCAGTTTGAACCGGATTGGAAAGGTAAGGGAAATAAAAAATAGTGCCGAAAACTCTTCTTCCATGGAAGTGAGCCATCTCACTTCATGGTGAATTTGACAATTTGAGTGTTCACGAGCTTCTAACACAATGACGGGACAGGGAGCGGTGCATCATAGCACATGGAACCAACAAGCTAAGAATGTTGTTTTGCAGTCAGGCGCTAGCACTGTCCTGTGTTGCATTTTCATGGAGTGAAGCAATCCGTTAGGAGTCAGGGAAATGATGCAAGAAGGTGGAAGATAGTTTTGATCGGTCAGTGTGGGTTAGTCAATCCCTTTTAAACAACTGACTTTACATCAGCTAGCTGTAGGATTCTCCTCCATTAGACAAAAATGATTTTAGATCAACAAAATTTAAGGCGCATCTCTGGTGGCATCGTCTCCCACAAGCTCGCCTTGTTACTATCTGCAAACCAGATTACAATTGAGACGATGGGTCTTTCGGGATTTTAGTAAATGCTCTAGTTAGCTTATTGACAGTAAAACGATGAACTTTTAAGTCTGAATCGGCCATGCATTGTGGCCTCAAACTTTAAGTAAGGATTAGACTGATATTTGTTACATTAGTCTCTTATAAGCTGACATCTGTGTTGCAGACCTAAATGTCTCATAACGTTTTTAGGAGCGACACAACTTAGATGAAATCAAATGCTATCTTTTGGCAATGACGAGTGTACACTGATCCCGCTGACTAAATGCTTAAACGTAGTCTTCACACCAATTTAAGAATGCATAGTTACATATCAATATAATGGGGAAGTATCAAAAGGTGCCTCATCTAAAAGCTAGGCCTATGAGGTGGTGAAGATCCGCAACGCCCCATTAATCACCAAATGATTTCTCCCATAAACTAGAGCACATTATTGGTGTATAAAACTTTTCGTCTGGTGACGACTTCCTAAAATGCTGGCTATAAGTAGACAGCGAAAGACTACTGTGCTATGTTTAGGGACGAAATTGCTTCTAAGATTCTAATTGTAATTTTTATTGAAAGAGGTGATAAAATTGCATCCAAACAGGATTTTTGGGAAGCATAGAATGTTTGAGAAGTAAGCTTTTGGGCCAAATAATTATTGAATAAGCATGAATGGAAAAAGGCCCTAAAATGCCGTGCGATCAAAAAGTATAGTCTTGATATTCAATGTTTTCCTGGATTAACACAATACCATGCATAGTAGATTCAACTGGAATGATCACTGCGCTAAACTGAATGCCAATTCAGCACATTTGAGATGATTTACTAAATTTGGCTTTATTTGTGGGAGAGAAACAGGGATAATTCTACGTGTTACGATGTACCAACCCCTGCACTGACAAATCACAGAGTTCTGCGCACCGCGTTCCCCATGGCTGGATGCAAAATGCCTCCCATGTTTTCCACATCTATTTCTCGCTTCTATAGTCACATTTTAGACCCTACCGGTGCTTCAAAATAAGGTCTATCGCGATTTTTAAAGAGGCTTTAGAAAAAAGATAGCAGAATTCACTTTTAAAAAGTACGAAAAAAGGTGTTTCATTTTCTTCAAAATGATTTTGATTTGTTAGGACTTAGGTTAAATTAATTAGGTTTTAATAAGGTAAAGTTCGTAACACCAAAATATCAGGATTTTTTAAGATCAAGATATGTAATAGCTTGAGTATTATGCCTTCTTTTGCCTTCAGGAAAGTCCAGCGGTGCTACAATAGGTAGCTTGTATGACACATGCATCTATTTGTGACAATCTTCAAAAGCCCAACTCGCTTGCTCGTTCACTTTCGTCAAGGCGAGGACAAGTACGTTAGTGACCATATGACAAATTTTATAAATTGACTACACCATCGATGCTTAAAAAACCGGGTAAAGATTATCTGCATTGAAATGTCACCCCAAATATAAAATTATTGACTGACATTAACAAATTACGCACAAGGGTACTTCACCTTCAATAGATTCGTTTCCCAGAAAGATCACATGATCAAGGGGAGGAAGGAAACAGTTGAGAAGAATTTAAATAGCGCTTAAAGCAAATGATCCTGTGAAAAATATTCTAGCTGGTCTGAGCACCTTATTCCATTCAAAACAAACGTCAATCGTTTGAACTCAGATTTGAAGGAATAATTCAAGGCGTAGAACAGACTTCTCTTAGTAGTTTAAAAGTTATATGAGGCTGACCGATTTGCTATACCATTCATCAAAATTGGCTTAGATTAATCACTCTTCACTCTGACTAAAGCCTATTTAGTTTAACTACCATAAGGATAAAATTGGTTAGTCCCGATTATATGGTAGGATGAAGCGAGCCATCGACTAGACTTTCGTTTTAGTGTAAATGCATAATCGTTATAATTTATAACCTTATTTAAAATTAATGTTCTTTCTCATTAAGCCACTATCCATATTGATATTGTAGTGCCCTGTTTTGAGTGCGTGTTCTAATATTGATGAAAGACCACTTTATTCAAAATATCCATGAGTTAACCGTGAAGATGAAGCTAAAAAATTTTGCCACGCCAGTTTGCAATCTGTGGCTACGCCCCTAAAAGTTTTACTAATTCTACAGGCCTGACACAGGCACAGACACAAAGATGGGCTTTTTGGCAAAACAACTATTCCATTGCTTTCTTGTAATTATCAGTTAAGAAGCACTTTCACGTTGCAGTGCATTTAGCACACACGGGGGTAATTAATGCCATTCCTTCCGATCAGATTTCATATACATCCACATATGTAGGAAATTTATAGTGTCTAATTACATTGCAACGGAATGATGCTGATCATAACTGTACATTCAAATATACGGCCTCTTCCGGCTCTGTGTTTTGTATCTCAACCTTGCCGACGTGACCTTGTGGCTAATCCTCCAGTCCGTTAATAACAGTGTCTTCTCTACCACCCCGGCTTTTAACAGCGGCGGTATCAGTAACCAAATCCAGTCAAAAGGACAATTATCCCAACTTATTAAATTAATTGCTGCACCTTTATATAACGGGAGAAGCTATCTGCTGCGGCCGACTAAAACTACGGAGGGTTACTACCGAAGAACAGTCGAAGGTAGAGCCAACATTGACGATCACCTCAACCTCGTGTACTTTAAGAACTCAATTAACAATCCAAGCACAATTAAACTCGAAGGGTTTTTCAAACTCAGTCCCAAAGATGTCAATGATGATTATGATAAAATATTTGAAACTCGCCATAAACGCCATCTCCCCCACATCTCAAGCACCTGAGTGGAAAGCAGATAAACGAGTGGACAGTGGTAAAAAGTGGCAAGTGGAAATTGATACCGAATACTGCTGACTGGCATAGGCAGTGCACTTGCTGCAGAGTATCATTCAGCCTTAAGAAGAACGAAACCAGCGAATTCCCTTCTCCATTGCAGTTCACAAGGTGAATGGAACCCCAAATTCACCGGAACCAAGGGGGCGTATCACCGACCTTGGGATAAAATGCTTTTTTGCCCCCATGCAAATCTAATGATTACCTCTCTTGGTCAATAAATGGTTCCATATCACCGACTACATTGAAGTGGACCAGAGGAGTGGTAGAGATGCCACCAAAATCGTGCGACTTTTTCTAGTTGCATATCTACGTATTTTGACCCTCCGTTGTTTGTATTTCCATAATAACATCATGGCATTTCAAACATATCTAAAGCCCCCAGACATTCTACATGTTAATTATAGATATGGTTATGCACCATATTACAACTTCAGGGAAGGCTAGGGGCCACTGCCATCACTGTTCATTCATATAAAATATTACTGGGTGTTTAAAGAAGTTTTACGAATTACCAAAGAAATTTAAATAGAACTATATTTACAGTTACGACTTTGGTTTAGTACTCAAAAATTTGAATTGATAGACGGCGGGAATAAGCAACAAACAAAGGATAAAGTGGGATTCAAATCAACACTATATAAATATTGCCTTCGCTGTCACTTAAGCATGCGTTTTGCAAAAATGTGTTAATGAAATAAATCCAAGTTAAATCTTGCGGTGAATGAGGTAAGTTTGTACAAAATCAATTATGATATTGGAACCAGTTTCTTATTATTAATAACAAGGTCCTGAATTTTGACATACAGAACAAACTGCAACATAAAAATAATACCTTAATTCGTCGAAATCAAATGAAAAAGCATTACCTTATGGGAACCAGAGATCCTTTCTAGTGGTAGGTTTGGCTTTTCAGTCCATTACCTCCACCATTTCTGCGTCTTCTGAAACGGTCTTCTGTGCAAATGTTTTCAATGAAATAAAAGGTGATCCTTTAATGATTCTTTAAGTTAAAGGATATCAACGGGCCAAGATTAACCGGTTTGCATTTGAGGCAATCAGCTAAGAAATGTTCATTACTTTTAAATATCTTTAACAGGCTTGACTGAATCCTTTTCCACTACAATTTATTCAACAGCAAAACATTCAATCAGAGATATATTGAAACAAATGCGTGACTAGTTCCATCAACATTCTCTCAATATTAACTTTACTTTACGAATCAATTATGTCACTGTTGTCAACTTGGGTAACCAAAAAATGAGTGGGGAATTAGCGTGAAATTTTCGCCTTCTAAGTGAGCATGCGCAATACATTTTTTATTTGAGCACCCCTTTTAGGTAGCAGGTGAGCAGATTAACATAGCTTCAGGACCGAGGAGGCGCTATTGATCTCCATGATGGAGATTAACTCTGACCTCCCCAAAAAGCTTTGATCCTTTGTGAAATCTCACGGTATCATGGTACAAAATTTCGTCCCCCATCCAAGTTTTTGATCCAGGGTTCTAAAATTGTGATAAAAAGGTAAAAAAACGGATGTATTACATATAAAGGTGGTGGTTTGATAATTTTTCTTGCCTATGTGTGCTGAGAGCAGTCTAGTATTTTTGAAAAGAACATTTTAAAAGAAGAATTCCGACAGTTCAATTAACCAACAAATATTAAAAGTAAAATTGTAAGATGATTAGCAATAACCATAGAAATTTGGTTTGCATAAGAAGGATAGTTCAAGTACTAATAAGTGGGACGGACAAATAGTTGAGACATATCTGATATATAGAACATGCTATACCTAATAATGAGCATCAAAGAAATATATACAAAGTTGCAATCAGAGCATAAAATGTGTAATGGGTAATGTCACACAGTCAGCCAAAATATGGAATTAATGCACACCCACACTCGCGACCACACCATTATGAATCGAGTTTATATAACAGAAATATTTTAGCACACGAACTGCAGCTAATCGCAGAGTAGGTAAGAAATCCTCATTCTCTTCAAGAGTATCAATATAGCTGTAATTGTTGTACTCATAAAAATAGTAGAGCGAAATTTACCTTAGAAGAAACCCTTCGTAAAAAATGAGGACAAAATATACCTGTGATGCTCAATGATGTATTTGAATAGCTTTTCAACTGCATAAAACATTTTAAATTATTTTCTAAATATGTTTGCTGCCAGCATCGCAAATGGGTGCCAGCATAATTTTCTTTCCTAAAACTGGTGTCTCGAGTAGCTGGGGTATTTTCTATCAGTTTGTGACAACCTGTTTCGCCAAACCGTATGGTAAACAGATTGGTCAATTGTACAATAAAAAGTCTGATATGTGGCTTTCAGATTCGTAGAAGACTGTATTTTTAGGTTTTCAAGAGACAATTAAGATGATAAAGTAAATGACGTCTAGTGTAATTAGAATCATGCAGCATTTGGGCTGAAGCTGGTGGAATGTGTGTAAACAAAGCCACTAATTGTATTCTTCATGGATAAAAGCTACTTAAATCAAGAAAGCAGGTTGTGATAAAGGCTAAAACTTATACACAATAATTAATTGTAGAGAATCAGGAAAATTCCTACCCCAAACGGTCAAGTATCAAAATCGAGTTAAATGTAATTTTTTGCAAGAACCATTGAACTTTCAATGTTTGAAACTTGCACAGAGGTATAACCAGTGATCCACGATAAGAATTACTGCAAAACGCAACTCGCCTCTGGTAAAAATTGAAGAAATCGTAATTTAGTCTATAAAGGTGTGCTGTTCATTTATTATCTGTACAGGTCAAATGTAGATCTGTTTTTGGAAAATAATAGCTGCTAAATAATAAAGTATTCTTGCAATCCTAGGAATGCAAATTTACAGCTAAATGAAATCTGTCAAGGTCCTTAGGAAGGGGCATTAAAGAAGTTATTCATCCAAAGTGAAATTTATGACCTTTACTCATTAACAGTAGATTCAAATGCTAGATAAAGTTGAGAATGAACAAATTCTGGGCCATGCTTTTGAAGTGAAAATGAAAGTGGCATGTTTGCTAAATTTCGCCCAACCGAAGAAAACAATGAGGAAACAGAAAAGTTTTTTTTCCTATTTACATAATTATATATAGTTACAAAAGTCAGAATATTTATGGACGTTTGAAGCAGCAATGCAGAAATGTTAATCAATTTTTCGTCATAACTTCTCGTGAGCGAGCGTTCCTGCGTCTGGGCTTGTATGAGAGACGGTAGACATACGATGAGATTCTCTAATAATACAACTGAATTAAAAAGGGTGGCTGCAAATAGATCTCGTGGTCATTCATTTCATGGATATCTGCGACCAATTTAATGGCAGCCGAGTTACAGACGCTGGTATGTCAGTAAAGTTACGGTAGTGGATCAAATGTCCTAGGGTTTCTTCATTCAATTTGGCCAAAAAATATTTTTTAAATATTCAAATTCCTATTCTCAGAACTCATTTGTGGAGGGAATTTAAGTTACTTAAACATAATTAACGAAGCAAATTTATTTTATGCTTCTATTTACATAAAATCATAAATATGAACTTTACTTCCGAAACAGCATTCAGTAGAGTATCTAAGCCTTCAGAATGATTTTGGAACTCTCAGGTGAGGTAGCCTGTCTTATGACGCTCCCCAAAGTCCAATACTGTTAAAACATCAACGTGCTCAGACAACCAAGCAAATAATTACTAAATAAAGTTACAATTGCCTTCTTTTTATCTCCTGATTAGGTTTTCCAGATGATCACATAGGTGTTTCAGGTAGGAGTGGGTAGAAATCAAAATTGTGAAACATCTCTTTTCACTTTAATCCAACAACTCTTGACGACATTTAGGCAGGCTGCAACCTTTAACTCATTAGCTGGCGTCTGAGACAATAAGAACGAAATGGTTAGGAGAGATTTGTTTTGGATCCAAAACTCTGTGCCGAGGACAAGAAGTAAGACCAAGCTGAACTATAAATAAAGGTGGTCCAAGTTTAACAAAGTTCTAGCTCTAGCACAGTCGACGTATCCCGTGCTTCAACTTTCTTTGAAGAGAGAGCGGAATGATATTAAATACATAGCGATATTTGAAGCAAACATCAAAGTGCCACTGGATTTTCTTTCATTAAACAAACCACTTTTTAGGATTTTAGGTATTAGGTGACTCTTTTGCGGAGCAAATTAAAGTGATTTCTCTAAAAAAACACTTATTTGAGAGTAGTGCAGTAGTTAGAGGAAGTTTGGCACGTTTCGAGTTAAACCGAAACTTTTGTTATTCCAAATAGAAGTTGGGATGAAACCATACTGTTGCTATTCATGATAGTAAGTGACAAGTGTGTCCTGCTCCTATCACTGATAACTGGCGCACATCTCCTAGGCTGGTCTAGGCACTATGGTGATGGCAGTTCGTTGACGAAGCGGCTTGTAAAAGAGGTGTAGAGCCCACGGGTATCGAAAAAAGACCTCAGGCAATGTATAGTGATGGTGGTAAAATTCAGCCGTAGTAAGACATTTGAGCGGCGTAACTGTTTGAAACAGTCAGTGACGATGCCGGTTACGTTCGTTCTCCTTGGAGTCTACAAGAGAGAGGTGTGAGGGTTTGCTCAATCTGTCAAGAAACGAAACAAGGGAAGATTCTTTTATCGGAAAAGCAGATCAGGATAAAATACAAACGTTAGGGGTTCCGATTAGAAGGCGCACGCAGGGGCTCTGAGAATAGCTTAGCCACGCTTTTGAAATTTTCCATGTATTAGCTGATCTCTGTGGTGATTTTATATTTTAGGGATATATGCAAAAAACAAACAGTTTTTACATCTCAAAATTTATTTCTTTCCCGGATAAACTGAAAAGCTTATACTAGACCTGAACTTGACCAGTCTGTTACGATACCCCAAGACAGAATTAGTCTCCCGCAAAGCCAGAGGTAGGTCTGCTTGTAGCTTATTAAGGTATCTAAATAACCAACTAAATGAAAGACTAAATATTTCATGGGATGAATGGACGTAAAGGAGGGTGGAGAGGATGACGAGAGGAGCGAATAGTGCAATTTTCGTGTTACTATCTCTCCCTGGGGACTAGCGAAGCATTCAGGTGGAAAAAAGCACTTGCTCTTCATAAATAATGCACATAATTTCCTCCAAAATGCACAACAAATACCACAGTTTGAAATCTTTCTCTCTTCATGACTGTATTTACTTCCTAAAAGCAAAAACATGCTGTATTAAAAGTTTCCATCAACCTCTATAGGCGTACGTAAAGTTGTGTTATTATCAAACATTTTTTTTCAATCTTTAGTTATATAACTTATTATTTGCCCAGTCAAGTATCTCTTCTTCAAGTTCAACAGACTTTTACAAAATTTACCTCTCCATTATCTTTACTGTCTTACTGAAGTGTTTGTAGCCCCCTTGCCAAGCTCGAACTGTAATTTTTTGCCTATTTAATTGAAATTCACTAAATTCATTTATAACATTCAACGGATGAAGCAAAACGCAAATTTAGTGTAAACTATTAACTTGTAAATTTTATTTAATATCTGTTAACAAAACGATGTGTATATTCTTTCCAACCCATTTTAAGAATGCGTATTAAAATATTTAATGAACTGCCAAATGCAGTCCTTAAAATGATTATTGAGTAGGAATTTAGGGTTACTATGGTAATTGTTTTTAAGGACCTGTAGCCAAATTTTCCCTTAAAGTTGAGTTTGTGGTAGAACCTTCCAAAATCCTCATAACTCCTGTCGACTTCCTTATTTTATCACTTAACACTCCAGGTTAGCAGTCCATCACATCCTGATCATATTATAGCTCTAGCTTTCAAGCTCAAAAAAATAGATGGATTACTCTAACAATTAAAACCCAAAAGCTCTAAAGTTCTTTAGATTTAGTTGATTTGTTCGCAGACCTAGGCCTTTCAGCCTACCTTAAACTGCCACATCTTGGGAATTTGTATCGCTGCCGCTTTTTAAACTAATATGCCACTAAAAGCCTTTTGCATTTTTTCTATAAATAAACAAAATAATAACTAATGATGGAGTTAACAGCAAAGAAGGGAGAGCTCTGCAAAAAATACTTGGTTCGCTGCACCCCCTAAACGAAATCTTGCGGTTTGTACCGAACAGATGCTCTACGATACTTCATACATTTTTCTAATGCTGATGTTCGCCCTTAAGTTACTAAGGTACAACGTCTTAAAATTTGGTCTTCCATATTCTGCAATAAGAGATTCAAAGTTGAGCGCAATGTCAGAAAAGTATAACAGAACTAGGAAATCATTTGCAAAATGTATTTGTTCTTAATTAAGCGGATGCCTTGTTTTTATATAAAAGTGGAACAATTTATTGTAAAATGCGGAAAACCATACACATGAATTCAAGTATACGAGGAGCGATGGATTTTAGTATGGATAGGAGAAGCAAAAGGTGGTGACATCATTTAATTATAAAATTAAATTATAATTCAGCTATTGTTAACAGGCATGCATCAGTTGTTTGTCCCTAAATGTCGCAATGCGATAACTCTTGGGCTATTTATAAAGTACATATATGTTTCCGTGCCGCCTAACTTCACAAACATACCAACGATGCAACCTGCATCTATTCTGCTCTTATGCATACTTAGGAAAGTGTTAGTAGGATCAAAACGCCGGTAAGAATGGTTCAGTCGAGTGCTATAAAATACAAAATCTTCCAAAATATCCGATTATATTTGAATTGGAATTTAAAGGAACTCATTCCCCTAAATACTAAGTGAGTTTAAAAGCATTAACGAGTGACTCCGTTTTTGAGCCCCAATACCACTAAACTATGCCATTTAGACGCAAATTTTCAAGTATTAAAAATTCGCGGATTATTTACTAGTACCCAATGAAATTGATTAGGGGATCAGTTGGTAAAGGTCTTTTTTGGAGCAGTAGATTCACAACTGTTTATGCACGCATGCAAGTCCGATCCAGGCTTTTAAGGTTAACTTTGCATTAATCCCCACTTCGTCGTAACAAAAAGGCCAATGTAGGCCAACACCCAGTTAAATCAAACAAAAGTTTTTTGTGTAATTATCCGAATGAAGCTTTTGGTGTTAGCACCACCTCATTCATGCGATTCTTTTAAGCAAATCAATTAGTCGAATCTGACACACTAAAAACTCATTGGAAAGGTAAAATTCATGCTATGTTTGATTTATCCAAGGTCGCAAATCAAGAATGCAAAGGATCAAGTGAGTTCTGTATCATCATACGTTTCGACCAGGAACTAGCTGCTAACCTGTTCAAAAAGAGGATTTGGATTCGTGCAGGCTGCAATGAATTCTGGTGGGGCTAAAGGTTACCTCAGTTCCAAAAGGGTTTAGAACTGGGCCGCCACTGTTATAACTTGAGGTTTGTAAGAGGTAGTAGTTTTGATCCTGTGGAGCACTTAACCGGAAAGCTAGCTTGGCCATTGAATGGTTAACAGTAAACTTAGGGTACACCTCTGCTGGTCAAAGTCAATAAAGAAGGATTGGGTTAGAGCATGACCCCCCCTAGTGTTTGGAAATCAGCATCTTCTATAAAATAAAGCGGAACATTTTCATGGACTTGCAAGCATTTCCAACACACATTGGAGGGAGAAATTAAAGAATCTACTGACAATGACAAAACATTGCGATCGGTTTTTGTAGGTACGAACCGAATAACTTGATGTTGTAACATTTAAGGTGAAGGACTGAAATAATTTCTTTTATAAAATACATTAAAGTCAAATCCTACCTAAGAAACCATTTAATTGGTCATCGACAAATATACTTTATGCAATTGTCGTTTTCAGCTTTCATTTGCTCCATTTCCTCTGCATCTTTGACATTTGGAAATGAAATTTTATAATCTTTGTAAATTGATAGCACATCTGATGGCACATTACGGCAAAATAAATATTGTAACACTGAAGAAGAGGTTTAAAAATGCCTCTGCTACTGCATGTGTATCAAACTCTCGATTGTAAAAATGAAGCTACTTGAATTTTTACTGCCAAATCCCTCTACATAGTGATATTCCTTCCTATAATTTACTCAGCTCATGCCTCCAAGTCATTAGGAGATTTGAGATTTCCTGTAACATAGCTTGGATTTTATATGTCATAAGTCGAACAGGCGTTATAAAGGCTTTTATATTACATGCAAAAACCGCTCACTTCCGACACATAAAATCAAATTTAGAAGTTGCTCTTCGCTTTATCATCTTTCTGTGTCATTCCTAATGTAATAATTGCAATGAAAAACGGACAGAGGAAATTTCCTTTTTAATGGCATTTAAAGACGGATTAAGTTAGTAAATCATCAATCGTACATAAATTCCACACTACTGAATTGTCCTAACATCCTGTTCAGGAAGATCTTTTTTCTCGAAAAAGATGAGGAATTACGG